AACTATCATGTCTAAAACTTGAGTATTTATTCATATAAACTTCGTAAAAGAATTTTAACTGAAACTAATGTTGAAACTAGCGAGTCAGAATGATTATAAACAACCGGTGAATATCGCTAGTATTTTCTTACTCATGTTTTCTACTTGTGTTACAGGCAAACTATTTGTTGTTTGTGTTTTTTTGTTTAATCAATCAGTTTTTGTGTCATAATCAAACATTATATGTACGCATGTTGTTCAAATGTTAGATGGTTATCAGAGTATACGTTTTGTCGTGATGATTAGTCAAGATATATTCTGAACGACTATGGAGTGGGTTGGGTTTCTCATTTGATTAAATCATTTTAAGTGACCTTGTGCGAACGTCAGTGTCTGTTTATTTTGCACAGGGTTGCCACCTCTTCCGCGTTTTGCGGAAAGTTGCTGTTTATTGATCTTTTTTCCGCTATTTCTCTTTTTCATTTAACAGAACAAAAATAAACACATGTCATAGGTAGGAAAAATGGTTAAAACTGTTAGAACTGCTAACAGTCGGTAACAATATAGGTTTCCGCTTTTTTCCGCATTTCTACGTGTTTTTTATACGACTTTTCCTTTTTTTCACCCACATCCCCCCAAAATTCATGTGTTTGAGCTCAGTCGTGCCAACAGGGCAACGGCTCATAAGACCGTTTCCTTTACAGTCAAGGTGACTGAATTGAATATATTTTCTACTTTTCTACCCGTCAATGAGCGACATCATTTTTTGTAGTTTTCGTGTATTAGTATGGAGTAATTTATTCTTTTTCTTTTGTTTGTCTATCTTCTTCTATGTCTAAATCTATCCTTCTTTTGTGACATCGCTTTTTCTATTTCTCTATTGGTCGATTTGATGACCAAGAGAAACAGCCGGTACAATCAGACATTATTTTTTTCTTCTAAGAACCCTTCCTTCCAGTAAGGGAATGATAAATTAATGATTCTCTTCCAAAGTATAAGATCTTAACACTTTTCGTCTTCTGTCTTGATGAGGCTCTTAGCCAGCGTTTCTAATGAGATTTGAAATTGAAGAGGACTAAACCACTTTGCTTTGAATCTTAAAGTGGTACTTTGCTCGGAAACGTAAAATGCTTTTCAGCAAGGAGCATCTGTAAAACTGCTGTTAGTTTTTACTCTTAAGCTTGGAACTATCTCAGCTTTGCTAATCTTGAGGGTGTACGTAACAGACATCTAATCAGTAATAGATAAAACAAAATATATACAATAAAGAAGTGAAACAATAAACAATATATTTATTGCGATAATTCGTTCATCATGGCAATTTCAAAAAGTAAAGCAGTACAGGTGGTTCGCAAAGCAGTTTCCTCCACTTTTAGAGTAGAAGACAGAGTGGAAATTGTCTTTCACAAAATAGAAGATCACCTTTCTCTCACAGGTGCCACCAATCATCAGAAACACTGCTCTTGACAGCGGTATTTTTTATTAGAATAGCCTGTCGAACTGACGTTTCCATTCCTTTAACACATGTCAATAGAACACATGAGTTTTAATGCGACTGGAAGTGTCTTTAAATCATTTTTTTGATAAATGACAGTTAGTGTGAACCATCGGAGTCGGTGTTGCAGAAAAAGTTTGACACTTTTGATTTCATGAATATTGTTAAGTTCATGGGCTTACCTTGTATAATAGTTCATTTTCTCTTTTTGTTCTTGATTCTGTTTAAGAATATTGCTGAATTAATATTTAGTACTTTTGGTTAGTTTATATTATTTAGACCTTTGCTATTATCTTATTGACTCAATTTTGATTTAAGTTCGTATCGCAGAAAATCTTAATGCAAATTGATATTGAACATTAACAACGTTTCATTCATCGTTTTATCTTCTACTTGATGATTAGAGAATTTTTTTTTTCGTTCAAACATATAAGTTTCATTTTCTTAAATGTTTGCATGGAAATATACATGTGAAAATATTTGAATATCTTAAAAAATATTCTTTTAGATTAAAAAATGCAACTAATAAAATTCTGTACAGCTTTTTTGATTTAAATATTTATTTCGACCGTAACTAGTAGTAATAATACTCTAGAACGGAACATGAATAGCTCAAGAGTGTTGTCTAGTGCTCAACAAACTTCAACCAATAACGAAAGGTGATTGTTTTGCTGTTAATGTAGACCATGATGTTCATTCGTTTTTTGTTATTTTTACTTTTGTAGATTGTCTCATTCAAACTCAATTGAAAATATAAATCGTGAGCTTCACTCAACTAGCAATTCAATTATACAATTAACTGATGATGAAGAAGAACAAAATGACATTCCAGTTAATTCAGATAAAACAAAAATATCATTTCATGTAAATAATGAACAAAAATTACAAATACCTATTAAACAGAAAAGACATTTGACATCAGAAGACAAGTAAGTAACTCTTTTCTTTTATGCTTGAAAATATGCACATGTATACAAGTTTGCTACTCAAGTCTATGTTATTACTGCAAGACAATAGTTTTTATAATGGAGACATATCTCAAAGAACAATCATAAAAAAAGTCGCTTTTTTTAGAAGACAAACAATTTCACCGCACAAACAATGTCTAACACTGAGTATAGCTGTTAAAAAACAATCGTCCACAAACTGTTCTCCAGTTAGAACAGGTGAGTCTTATTGCAAAAATAGTTAATCACATGTTATTTTAATGTTATTTTTTACAGGTGCAAATCCAACAATGCAAACACCAATATCGTTACTAGCTTCTTCATGTAATGATACACCGAATGAATCTCAGATCGACAGACAAATGACAAATGAGTATTCGAATTTAGCATTCGTTGATACTTCTAATACACAACATTGTTATGAGAATGGTAAGTTTTTCAACTTTTCGTTATATTTGATGAATAAAGTCTTCTTATTTAGACGTAATAAATTTAGATACTCTGCTTTTTTGAAAAATTCTAAACTGTACTGTTGTATGAACATTGAAAGATAAATATATACGTCGAATAAAACTAGATATTTCGATATAACATATATAGTTCTGTTTATTAAGAAAAATTAGTTAACGAACAGCTGAGAATAACTAGATGGATGTTGTACTCATTTTTTTCCATCTATGAACTTATTGCAAAAAATTCGGGCTAGATTCAAAATATGCGCAATTTCAAGCACTATAAAATCCTCTGTAGGAGATATTCACGTATTGTTTCATTATCTAAAAGAAATACTTAACATGGATTAAGAATATAGAAAAATTGAAAACTACAGTGAAAAATTATAGGTCATTTCTGTATTCAATTTTTTTCGACGTATCGTATCAGTCCAAGATGTTCATGTACACTGTGTTGTTTAGCTTTTTTCCTTAATTCAATCGTCTACTGCTCGATCTTCTGCAATTTTCATGAGTGCACATTCTTTTCTATAAAGAAGCTGTAGAAATTTGGTTTCATTTATGTTTAGAAAACTGTACTCAACCGTTGTCTTCGGAATCAAATGATGTGAATAATATTGCAAAACAAAATACTCCACAGTCATCTAAAATGAATGCATATCATTCAAATACAAATACTAGCGAAACAGGCGAAACATTTCAAAATATAAACTGTACAGTATTAAAACGTTCTCGAATGACAACATCACCTGTAAATAGAGAAAAAGAGTCAACTTCTACAAGCAAACGTTTGAGGCCAACATCAGACGATGCAGATGTGACGACTAAGAACCTTCCAAGAGTAACGATAACTCCATCGTTACATCAGTTACAAAGAAGAGGTTCTGAAACAAATAGTACATCAACTGCTGACCATTTACCGCATACTTCCACAAATAATAATTCAAATGGAATAAATATGAAACAACAAAAGTCAACATATAGAAGAAATTTTTCTAATTTATCATCGTTCAATACGAACACGAGAACGATATGTAGCATTCGAGAGCCGCTTCCACTTGAATCGTCATACGAAACGTAACAGTAGATACTGATAGTTGATCGATGACTCTTATTACTTTTGGTTTCTTTAGAGCATCGACAATAAACACAAACTCTGAAAAACGGCAAACACCAGTAAATAGTTTGAGTATAACTCAAACAACATCTCCACAATGTTCAATTTATTCTTATAATACAGTTACAAGTTCAATGAATACATTAGTTATCGTACCTGACAATGATATGGAAGACGATTCTAAACCAGATATGATTGAGATTGACATCAATAAAAGTATATCCATACCTTTGACGAAAACTCAAAGCTTGCCAAGAGAAAATACAACACTTTCAACTAGTGCATCATCTACGACAGCAGCAACCTCAGGTTCATCGTCGAACAATACAGATCAAGATATAATTACATTATTAAAAGGTGAAATAATCCTGTTAATTTGCGTACGTTGTTGCTATCTATATTCGACTTTGCTTCGACAAGAGTAGTTAAGCAAGTGAGCAAAACAAATAATCTTTTCTGTGGATTTGCCTTTTATGGTACTATCGTTTGTATCGACCTGTGTAACTCATGTATTTCCAAGTAACGAGGGAAGACAAGTCATCATAGAACGTTTCAATGTGAGTCAATTCAAGTTAAACGGCATGACTTGGTTAACTCTGTAGATTAAACTGTAGTAGTTCGATCAGTCAGATACGCATGAGTTAGCTTCAGGATGGTGTCAATGTATCGAGTACAAGATAAGAATCTTTTTGATTCCGGTAGCAATGAGATCTGACAATGATCACGATAAAAATTATCGAATAACAAATGCTCACTATTTATTGATTATTATTTTGTCTTTTGTGAGCAGTACTCGAGATGCTGTCGTTATTTTTGGAACATATTTCGTTTCGTGTAGGAGATATCGAACGTTCAAATGACAGAGCAATAATAATTGAGACGCAAACAAAAGAAGATTCATCAAAGTCAATAGCCACGATGCCTGCTTTAACACCTTCTAGTCCTGTTTCAATCTCTCCAAGTGTTATGAAACAATTTCTGTATTATTTTCGTTCGGCAGCCAAGAACCAGTTAAAGAAACAATCTCAACCTTCGTTATCCTCGGATGTTAGTTCTAGATTGAGGCAAGCATTAGTAGAAATTAATAAAAATTATAATGTTCTGTCGTCTACCAATACAACAGCAAAGACAGAAGTAGAAGATCAACAATCTCCCAAATCAAGTGCTTCAACATGTTCATCAAATGTCGTAATATCACAGCCGTCAAACCAACAAAAAGAAGTAAAGGTTGAAATCCATCCAAGACGTGAAAACATCATTAATTCGGCTTCAGTACCGAAAGTTGTGCCATTTGAATCTTCAATAAAAACGACAAGTCTTCCATCACAAACAAACATTCCTATTTCTACATTGCCTAAACAATCTGCCTCGCATATTTATCTCTCTTCATATCAAGAGCAAATTCCACGAACATCATCTACAGTAATTCAATTACCAAATATATCTATTTCTCAAGAAAACTCTTCAGAAGGAACAAACCAACATCAGAAATCAAATAGTGATCAACAAAATGCATTGACATCTTTTCTTGTACAATCGATCATTCCTATTTATCTAAAACATCAACAAATATCACCAATTATTGATTTCAATCCAATTTATCTTGCTGAAGATTTATTCATTGAAAGTAAACGTTTGTATCAAACACGTCGAAAAATAAAACAAGAAGATGCTATATCGTCATTACCTATGAATTCAATAATATCTAAACATTCAAGTCAAAATCAACAATCTAGATCAACATTATCGTCAAAAGTGACAACACCGAGATTAACATTACAACGAAACAATAGTAATAGACGTTTACTGCAATTTGGTCGATATGAAATTGAAACATTTTATAGATCAGCTTATCCATTTCGGGAACAATGTGATACTAGATCAAGTGGTACAAACTTAAATCAACAATCATATTCATCATTAGAGGTATTCTATATGTTCTTTTTATTTACAAACTATCGTTTCTACAATATGATATTTGATGATAAAAAAATATGTTTTGTTCTGTTTTTAGTTAAATTTAATAAAAAAAATATATGTATGCGAATATTGTTTAAAATATTTTCATGATGAAGAATATCCATGGCAAAGACACTTAATAAAATGTCCATGGACGAATCCATATGGTCTCAAACTATATGAAACAGATAAACTAGCATTATACGAAGTAAATGGCAATAGTGAACATCGTAGTTTTTGTCAAAATTTATGTTTATTAGCTCGATTATTTATTGATAGTAAAAATGTTGATAAATATGTTGATCGATTTTTGTTCTATATACTATATCAAAAAGAAATATTACCATTCAGAAATGTAAGTTAAAAACTCATATAGTTTAAGATTCCACTAGTATGATAAAATAATAATTTTCAATTTTTCTTCTTTTTTTATCGCTCTCTATTTCAGCATTCATCATCAATTGTATCAAGTTCAAATCAGAAACAACAACCATGTAATTATCAAATAATTGGCTATTTTTCCAAATTAAAATTTTCAAATAAACGTGATCATCTAAATTTATCATGTTTGTTAGTATTGCCACAATATACTAAGCAAGGATTTAGTAAAATATTAATTGAATTTAGTTATTTACTATGTCAGTTAGAAAATAAAACAAGTACACCTGAAAGACCATTATCTGATTTAGGTATGTATAAATTATTTTTGTTTTAAAAGTATAATAATATTATTTTATTTTTAGGTTTATTATGTTATCGTTCTTATTGGCGTGAAAAAATATTACAATTTATTATTGAAATTGATTATATTGAAACAGAAATATCATTGACTGAAACAGTCAAAGATGATTTAAATTCAATTTCAATGAAAGATATTCGATATTGGACGGGATTTTTAACAAAAGATATTTTAAGTACATTACAATATTTTGGATTAATACGTATACATGATAGAACATTTTATATTATTAAAAAACATTCATTATATGTTGAACAAAAACGAAAACAACAACAACATCTCATACGTCTTGGTGTAATCATGAAACATGTTACTGCTTTACAAAATCGCTATGAAAGAAAGAAAAATTTATTGAATACGTGGGAATTAAAACAATTACAACAAACATTGACAACAACAATTTATAATTTATTTCAAAATTATGATTGGAGTTTTTTCATTGACTACACATGTTTACATAATATTGATGAGAAAAATTTACGAATCTACAAAGAAAAATTATTAAAAAAATATGTTTTACACTGGAATCATTTTGAAGAAGACGAAAATGAAATACGAATGAAAAATATGAAAAATAGTAGTGGTGAAAGTGATAATCAAAAGGAAGAACAAGATGAAATTATTATTCTTTTAGATTAAAAACTATCTCAATTGTGCAATTGTTTTTGTTTTTAATCTAATCTTTGCAATATTATTCATTATTAAGCGTAATATATTTGTTATTTTTGTGAACAGAATAGAAAACAATTTGTGATAGTTCAACATGCAAGCGGTAGGCTCCACTCTACCTCGACTTTTGTTAAAATAAAAATGAATACTATCTTTTTTGATACTATTGGACTTCTCTTTTTTAATGTGCATATCCTGTGTGAAAATTTTCTACACTTTTTTTTTTCTAGAAATATTTTTTTATTTTGTATACTTGGTTATTAGATAAATCTCATTGATCAGATTTTTCTTTTCTTCTTACAAAATATATTCATGCCAGATACTTTTGTTATTTTTATTTATGTTCTGATGTTAGATAGTGTATCTTTCTTTTTTTTTGTTCTTCGAAATAATGGTCATTTAACTTTGTTGTAGTTGAAAAAACCAACGTTCTCAATTCATATCTGTAAAGCTTAATTTTCTCACTTGTTTTATCGTTGTAATGAGATTTTTCTTGTTGATATTTTGATGAACAGAATACATCTATAGAGTCTGCATTTATGTTCTTTTTATCTGAGTTTTATCAGGCAAATATTTCAATATGGTCATAGACCGATCAATTACTGACGATACGTTCAGTTAAATCATCCATTTTACCTCCGATGAGGCAGTCATTTCAGTACTGTCAGACGTGTCTAGCTATTCTTTCCAACTGTTTTAGAATTTGTCGCGATAGTTTTTTACAGATGCTGCTATGCTATACTATTGAACTTTGCGAATGAAATGTACGGTATTTCAACGTGGCAGTTCTATTACTCTCATATATGGTTATTTATCTACTTAGTGAACTGTCCAAAATATTGAGCGTAAAATATGACAAAATTTACTTGTAAGAAACAATGGTGGTGTTTGTTTCGTCAGCGTGAAAACTTGTTGTATCATTATCCTTTCTTTGTTAAAAAAGATATGTGTAGTTGAATTGCATTATTAAAATATTATATGAAGAGAAAGCCTTTTCTTCTTTTGAGAGTGGTTGTTCGGGAAAAAAAGTATTACCATTCATTTTTTCGATAAAAATTTTGTTATCAGTGTTTGATATATCGAGTTCTTTCGTTTTCTCTTGCTAAGATCTCCCAAACTTACATTAAAGTACACTAGTTTATTAGTTTTAAGGTTTGTTTTCAAGAAAAACAAACACTGATATCAACTACAGCGCAAGACAGTTAGCTTACTTTACCTATACTACATGTTTCTGTTCAATGTATTACATCAATCGAATCCAAGCTTACTTTTGAGAAATATAGTCTAACTTAGTCAATGAAGGGATTTCCAGATTCATAGTATTACTAAGACAGGAAGAAAACAATAGCTCTAATATCCTCACACATGATATTTTTCTGATTCAATATCTTTTATTCTTGAATAAATTAATTTTGTATCCTTTCATGCAAACAACCTTAACCGTAGGTAAAAATACTTTCTATTGAAAAATTATTACTGATCCCGAATGATTTATAGTAGAGTATATATATGTTGTTAATAAATCGTTTATGATCACCATCGTTCGATTGCTCTATAATACATGTGCAGAAAGAGAACTGAACAAGAAATAGTGGTAGTTATAATAATCGTTATTCCTGATGATATTATTATTCTTTCTACTAAAAGAAAAAAAGAAATATATTTGACAATGAGACAGTGCCAATTATTATTCGTAGATTTAATGTCATATAGCAAGTCTTTGTGCTTATTTGAAGGTTCTTTTTTATAAGATATGTAGTAAATCATCTCTCCACTCAATCATCTCTATATTGAGAAGACAAATCTGTCATCATCGTCAAGTTCATATCTCTTTCTTTTAATATAATCCTTATACATATTTCACAATTGTTTGAGTTTGTTTGACTATAAAAGTAATTCTCAGATGAATAATTGAGCTGTCAGAAATTGTGAAAGTGAGTATAGTATCTAACAAAGAACATAAATATTCAATAATGTAATCGTGAGTTGATATATGATTATATGAAATTTTTGATGGTAAACAACAATCTAATATTAATTTATTTTTATCCTTTTCTCATATGATCTAATTGTTAGAAAAGTCTTTAGAAAATGTCTTTTGTTTAACTCCATTCCGATTTAGCGTTTTATTTAGATCATTCATTTTTTATTAGAAACTTCATACAAAAATGATGTTTTAAAACTGTAATAAACCATAGAGTTCAATGAAATAGGATCTCTTTTTCTCATGAACCTTGTCTCTGAAGATCTCAAAAACGTTTAACATAAAAACTCTGTACTTGGAGACTTCAGTTGTTGTAAATAGAATAAAGTTAAAAAATAAGTTTTAAGAAAATCTCCCTTGTAATATCGAGTGAGTCTAGGTCAAACAGTATCATTATTCATCGAAGTTGACTAACTAGTATAGTTGTGTTCCGGAACTTTGCTAACAAGAATTTTGTCAACAGCTTAATTAGAACTTTGCCAATATTGTCAAAGTTCTTTTTCAAACAATATTTTAATTAATTAATAATTAAGAATAAATTTAAAAAAGAACTTCGACAATAGTCCTAAAAATAAAAAAGAACCTATTTCAAACATGACAGAAAAATGTTGTCTATTTAATACACATATTAAAAGGTACTTTGCCAACAACCTAATTAATTATGCTGGCAAAGTTCTTTTCTTTATTAATTAAAAAATTAACAAAAAAAAGAACTTTACCGATATATTGGCAAACACTGTAGACAAAATTCTTGTTGGCAAAGTTCGTCCACTCATATAGTTTAAAAACAAAAAATATTGTAACACTGATTCTTGCGTCATTACAACAAGTCAAATTTGATTATAATAGAATATCCGTTCACTTAAAGGATGGAGAATGGGTTCTGCAAGAAAATGGCCCTGTATATATTTGAGAAAATAACCACTAGAACTAATTGAGAACAATTCATTATTTAGTGTTTAATCTTTCTGCACTTCAATCGTTGATTGCGGACTATCACATCCTGGAATTTTTAACCATCTTTAAGTATTGATCTAAAAAGCCGATTCGATCGTACTTTTCTCTATGAACTCAATGTTTTTAGCAGGGATCCGCACGGGCCGAAAACTTTTGACCCGGCCTGGTCGGATGATGAAAGTTTCCGGACCAAGCCCGGCTCGACCTGACTAAACATAGACTTTATTTGGCCCGGCCCGACCATTTTGCGTTTTTCGTCTTGTATCTGTAATACAAGTATACTGGCTAAGCGGTGTAGATGTATTTCTCAAGCTAATATTTATAGTTTTATGATTTCTCGGTGCTGAGTATACACATAAATTACAAATCCACGAATGCTTAAAAATTCTAAGTTCTGCGCGGTCCGACCCGACCAAAATACTTTGCGGCCCAAGCCCGGCCCGGTTCGACCACTCCATAAAACTTTCTGACCCGATCCGGCCCGTGCTTATCTCTGGTTCTTAGTAAAATCTTATATATTAAAAAATGAAGAATTTAGTGAGCTTCAAATTCAAATACGTTAAACTTTTAAAAAGTTCAGATTTTTTTGTCAGTTCACAGAGATATTGAGAGAAATAGTTTTAGACACTCATCAAATGGTTTTTTGTTTTATGTTTTGAAGATAATGTAGAAAATCATGCCTGTGTTTCATACAAAAACAATTGAAAGTATTTTAGAACCCGTAGCACAACAGGTATGTTTTACAATGAGACACATACATCAACTTGAATTTCGTTATTTTTAGGTTTCTCGATTAGTTATTTTACATGAAGAAGCCGAAGATGGGAATCTTATGCCAGATCTTTCTCGGCCAGTTCAGGCCGTTAAAATTGCTGTTGATAATTTGATTAAAGTAATTAGATGATTTATTCATTGTTCTTGATAAATTAACATTTTATTTATCTTTTTCATAGGTCGGCAACGAAACATGTTCAGTTAGTAATGATGATTTATTACGTAAAGATCTTCCAGTCGCTTTGCGACGTGTAGAACAATCGTCTATGTTTTTAATTGATGCAGCCAGTTTATTGAAACAAGATCCATACTCAGTAGAAGGACGAAAAATGTTAATTGAAGGAGCCAGGGGTAAAAGCACAGTGGCGGATTTAGGGGAGATATTCTTGATGCGATCGTCCTTCCCTTCCAGAATATTTTTAGAAGAAAAAAAATCCACTGTTAGTGCTTCCAGCCTCAAAAGTTCAAGCAATCGTACCCTTCATTAAAAAATCCCGGATCCGCCACTGTAAAGACATATGATGTAGTAAACAAGATTTACATTTATTTTATCTTTAGGTATTTTACAAGGTGTTTCGGCACTTTTACTAGCATTCGATGAATCAGAAGTGCGAAAAATTATAGAAATTTGTCGTGATGTATTAGAACAGTTGGCTCTTGTAGAATCAGTTGAACTTATAGAACAACTTGTTGCATTTGTAAAGGTAAACTAACGCTATTGTTGTATAAAATAGAATAGTCAAAATTGTCTTTGTTCTTTTACCTCTCTTGGCTATAGAATTGATGAGTAGTAAGTTATATGCTAAAATGTTTGCTCGCTACAAATAAGGAATAGTTTTGATCACTATTACCGCTCATATATTTTTCTAATCTAAACGGAATATGTTTAAACTTTTAACAAAATATATATTAGAAGGCACACATTGCTGATCTTGAAAAAGAAAAGGAAAGAAGATATTTTATATATAAAATCAGATTTATCTTTTTTTTCTAGAACTTATCTCCAATATTATCACGGATGACAAAAGAAGTTGATTTACGCGAAAAAGAGTTGACACATCAAATTCATCGACAACTCTTATCAAGACTTTTGGAACAAGTAAAAAATTTAACGCCAGCTTTAATATCCGGTATGAAAGTTTATATAACAGCAAAAATGACGGGTGGACATACGATAGTTGAAAGTCAAGAAAATCGTGATTTTATTATTGGAAAATTATCAGACGAAATACATGAAATAATTCGAATTTTACAATTAACAGCATTTGATGATGAAGAAACATGGGAGCAAGATGAACAACAACCATTGAAAAAAATTTTAGTATGAAAATATTTTTAGAAAATATGTACTTTTGTACACTAAACATTTTCAGATACAAATGATTATCAGAAAAGGTTACTTTTGACAACCAGATTTTGATCAGCATCCTTATGATCATTCATTTCTTAATTAACAAAAACATAAGTTTACAAAAACATGAAAAATGTAAAGAAAAACAACACATTTACAAATGATAAGCTTGGCTAACTTTCTTTGAACGCCCTTTACTTTTTCGTTTCTCTAATGTTTGAATGCACATTCTATCATTTACTTGTACAGATAAAAAAACCTTTTAGTTAGGTTAAGCTAGAAGAAAAGGAACATATAGCTAGCTCAATCGAGCTGTTTGTTACTTTTTACCTTGATTAATCCTACTCTCAAAAACGTTTTTTGTTTGAGTGATACAAGTTAAATAAAATAGCTAATTTAATCGTTGGCTTAGTCAGATATTTATCGTTCGTATCAGTGACTTCCTTATAAAAAAAGATTAATATGGCAGAGCCTGCTAACAAGCCTGCACATTCAGTTCCAGCAGACAAAATTCTCATGAGCAGATCTGTGCAGGTCTGCAGGAAACATCGTGGCAGACCCTGGAAGACCAGACAGCAGACACTGTCACATACCTCTGCAGAGAATGCAGCATAGGTATGTGACAGTGTCTTCCAGGGTCTGCCACGATGTTCCATGCAGACCTGCACAAGTCTGCTCGTGAGAATTTTGCCTGCTGGAACTGAGTGTACAGGCTTGTTAGAGGCTCTGCCATATTAATCTTTTTTTTATAGGGTTATGTTCAATGATTTTCTGATTTTGCAAGATTTCTGTTGGTTAGTATATGAGCGATAGTGATCAAAACTATTACAATTTTGCACATGTCCAGTTGGTATGAAACAATATTAATATAAAAATTCAATTGAATGAACTATTCGATTTAACTTGTATCAACAAGTTAGTGATAAAATACGGATTCAAACATTAGAGAAACGAAAAAGTAAAGAATGTTCAAAGAAAGTTAGTCAAACTTATCGTTTGTAAATATGTTTTTTTTCTTTAAATTCTCCATATTTGTATACTCTTTGTTAATTAACACGTTGACTGCCAGAGTAAAAAAAACTAAGCCAGATGTATCACCGATGATGCATTGGCAGTCAACGTGTTAAGAAATAAATGATCATAAGGATGCTAATCACAATCTGATTGTCAAAAGTAACCTTTTGCTGATAATCATTTGTATCTGAAAATGTTTAATGATCAAAAAAATTCATATTCATATTTTTATATCAATTCGCAATATGCATTATTGTAGTCTCTTTTCCTAGAAAAATATTGGCAATCGTTTATATCAAGCTAAAATGTGGTTATCAAAATCAAATGCATTAGCGGGTACCATGGGTGAAAAATCATTGAATTTAATATTAGATGAAATCCGTACACATATCATGGATAATTGTCTCGATCAGAAATATACCGATTTGTTGTTACAGAAAGCGGATGCTATATCGCAAATGCTCGGGAGATTGCTACATTTAAGAGGACAAGAAAAAGTAAGAACTTGATTAGTGCGTTTAGCGACAAATGTTCAAATGTTTTTCATGTCATTTTAGGGCGATATGTCAGAAGCGATGAGTTTATCTCGGAATATGTCAAATCAGTTAGATGATTTATATCAATCTCTTGATACAATCATAGCATCAATCAAAGACAAGTCCGACTATCAACGACCCGCAGTAACAGCTGTGGCTAAAGTTGATCAAGCTCTACGGTGGCTAGCTAATCCGCATTTAGATCATAATGGTCATGGTAAGACAATTATTTCTACTATTTCTTGATATTATCCTAATTTATTGCGTAATCTATGTATTAGGTGAATTAGCAATTCGTGGTCTTATTAAAATGGCTCATCAAGTTGTTGAAATTTGTGAACAATCATATCGAAAAGATCTGCTTCAATGCTGTTGTGATATAGAGAATTTACTATCAAAATACAATGATTTATTACGTCGACGAATAGTAAGAGAATCTGCCGTAGTCCAACAAATTTTCTAGCACATAGTTTCTAGAAGCTCTCGGTATTGATCTGATGCATAAGTCTGTGTAACTTGAACGATATTGTCATTTAGTCTTACTCTGCACCTGAACGTATTACCATAGCAAGAAATTTGTCCGAGCAAGTCACCGTTCTTCAGCAACGATTACAAGAAGCAGTTATTTATCAAGCAGCTGATGATTTTATTGATACAACGTCGACGATCAAACAATTGAAAGAAACAGCACTAACACCATTCCGTTCGTAGTTATTTGCTTAGTCATTTGTTCATCAAATTTAAATAGATAATTCACGGTACCTTTTAGATTTACCAAATCGCAACGAAATATTTCACGAGGCTGTCCGATGTTTTACCGATCATTCATCTAGTTTGATATTTACCGCAAGATTGGCTGCTAATGCAGCAGGATGTCGTTCAAAAGGGATTATTGAATCGATTAACGTTTTGACTTCTCAAGTGAGTAATATAAAGCAAAACTCTAAACATAATTAACATATTGTTTTTTTTTCATTCAGATAAATGATTTGTCACCGCAAGTTGTTTATGCTGCTCGTATCGTTTTTGGTGATCCATCAAATCCATCAACTATTGAACACTTTAATTTAATACGAGATCAATGGATTGCACAAATGGAACATCTACGTCAACAAGTTGATGAAGCTATTCCATCGCATGAATTCGTTAAAGCATGTGGTGAGTTATTGATCTATAGTGGTCTACACTGATTAAAAATAACTAACTAACTAACTTTTTTTTTCTTTTTTCAGAAGAAGCTATTATTCATGATACACAACAAACAGAAAAGGCTACTGCAGATTTAAATGGATCAATCATTGTTGATAGTACATCGAATATTGTTCGACGAGCCAATCGTGTACTATTAGTAGCTCAACAAGAAAAAGAAAATTCGGAAGATAATATTTTTGTGTCAAAATTAATGCAGGCATCCACTGCACTTAAAAATAGTATGCTTGTTTTATCTTAATTCTGCTGTCGGTATAAAATGTCCTATTTCAGCAATATCACCAATGATTCGAGAAGCCAAACAATTAGCTATGAATCCCAACAATAATATTGCTCATTCCAGATGGCAACAAACAAACAATGAGCTGATCGATGCTGTAGGCAATGTACGTGATAGTTTAGCTCCAAATATTCAAAACAATCAGTCACCGCCAAGATATCCATTACCAGATCTATCAAACTTATCATTAGATTGTAAGAATGCTCATAAGATAATCTTGGCGCTTTTACTAAATACTTTATGAAACATTTGTTTAGCTGATAATACTCCACCACGACCGCCTCCTCCAACGATAGGGTTTGTTCCAAGAAGACCTCCATCTCCAGTTCAAAATGGAACAGACGACGATACCGATAATGAACTACCCATTCCACAATCAAATCAACCTATGTTGGTAAGATGAGAAATCGGTACTACTGATACTTTTTTCCATCTCTCATCAAGACAATCATTTGCTCTACTAATATATTTGACTTCTAGACGGCGGCTTACGATTTACATATGAATATTCGCCATTTTTCAAGTCGAGATAATGAAATTATTTCGGCAGCGAAAAAAATGGCACATCTAGTCGCTCAACTTTCTCTTCTTGTACGGTAAGGGATCTTTTAACCCCAAAAAAGCTGCATTGACATGTTGATTCTAATTTTTTAAGAGGTGAACAGGGAAATAAACGTGATTTGATATCAACAGCCAAAGAATTAGCTGATATGTCAGAAAACATAACCCATTTAGCTCGAAAACTGGCATCGGAATGCACCGATAAAAGAATGAGAAATGTATGGTAAAAATAACATAGAGTTATAGTTATCTATTTTTGTTTCCTCTAATTAGAATTTATATCAAGTTAGTGATCGTATTCCAACTATTGGAACACAATTAAAGATTTTGTCGACAGTGAAAGCAACAATGTTAGGTGTTCAAGGTAAGCTGTTAAATATATTTTATAGTTTATCGAACCAGAAAACTTTTTTATACTTAACTTTTCTTTAACTTTTTTCTCGTAATCTAAAACAGTGTGAGAACGTATCATAGCAGAGCTGAAGTTGTGAGAAACTTATGTTCGATTTTTCTCTTTAGCTAATTCAAATAAGACATTTAGTTTGTTAATTTTATTTAGAAACATTGCCTGTTAGCTTGGACGGCAGCGAATATGTTACCAGTAAGATAGAAAAAATTGGAATGATTATGTTATTTTTGCAGTTCATTTTTTATGTCTGACATATACATCATGCATCTACAAAACCTTTTATGTTCGCTTCTCAGCATGTTTTTCGTATATCGCTACCTGATTTCACTTGAATCCATAATTTTTTGAATGACAATCGATCATATCTGTTGTTTTTGACATTTGACAAAATTCAACTGTGACAAAAGGCTAAATTGTTGAATGAAAGATGTACTAGTGGATAAGAAAAGCAGAAGATTATGTACTTTCTGGAAGTCAAATTAAGTTGTTTCGTTTTTTTTAATGTTTTACCTTCGAACTATAACTTCGTTTTCAAAATACAATATCTCTGGATATTTTCAGAATAATTTTCGACAGAAAAACAGATAGAAACTTGCGGTTTTCACCATTATGTAGCCAAAACTTTAAGACATAAAAAGATAAGAAAAATTCCAGACCCGGACACCACCTGTAGATGATGTACCACATTGATCTTTGAAAGATAAGGTTGCTAGTGTACCAAAAAAAGATGATTTTCAAATGCCGAGTAATTGATTCGATCCTTCTTATCATCCTCTACAATTCTACACAAGTCCTAA